ACATATCCAATGTAATTCCTGTTAAAATCCTGTTTGTTGCAGAAATTGACAAACTGGTTTTAAAAGTCATATGGAATTGAAAGGGCCCCAAATGGTTAAAGTTATCTTGAAAAGGAACAAGTTGGAGGACTCATACTTCCTGATTTCAAAACTTGCCATAAACCAGCCACAGTAATCATGTGTGGTATAGCCTTAGGGCAGGCATATACATCAATGGAATAGGATCAAGTCCAGGAATAAACCCTCACATTTACAGTCAACTGATTTTCAACAAGAGCACCAAGATCATTCAATGGAGAAAGAAGAGTCTTTTAAAAAAGTAATACTGGGACATAGGAGAGATTGAAATAGAATCTTTACCTCACACAATACATACAAATGAAATGAAAATAAAATAGAGGTCAGTGCAGAAGCACAGTGATAATGCAATATCTCATGATACTGAGGCCATGTAGAAAGGTCCCCTTTCATGTTCGAGATTTTCCTGTGCATACCAGGCATGTGTGTGCGTGCTCGTGATCCTGGCTGGCCAAGGCTGGGGGTAGGATCACAGCATGAAGACCTGTTGAAAGTACCTGTCTGTCTTTCTCTCTGTGTCTTCCGCTCTCATGGAAGATATGCATAAATAAATAAATAAACTGTAGACCTAAATATAAGAGCAAATACTATAAAACTCTTATTAGAAAACATAAGCCTAAATCTTTGTGACCTTAGATATGTCAATGGTTTCTTAGATATGACACCAAAAGCTTAAGAAATGAGAAAAAAAAAAACCATAAATTGGTCTTTATCAAAATTTTAAAAATTTGTGTTCCAAAGGACACTATAAGAAAATTAAAAGACAACCTATACTATGGGGAAAATACTTGCAAGTCACATACCTGAGAAGAGACTTTTAATAAAATATACAAAGAACTCTTAAAATTCAGAAATAAAAACAAATTTCTTTTTTTAAAGATTTATTTAATTTTATTTATTCATCCATTTATTTAAATTTGACCTGAGAGAGACACAGAGAGAGAGAGAGGGGAAGTAAGAAAGCAAGCCACCAGGTCCAGGACTTGAACTGTGGTCGGCCATGTGGGAGTGTCCAGTGCCTTAACCACCACGCCACCCCTGGTCCCACGAATTTCTTAATGTAAAATGGGCAAGGGATTCAAAAAGACAATTCTCTAAGGAACATATACAAATGGCCAATAAACTTGTGCAAAGACTTCATCAGTCTCTAGGAAAGTGCAAATAAACTGTAGTGAGCTAAATAGTGGGCTCAAAAATGTCTACATTTTAATCCCTGGAACCTATTAATGTGACCTTATTAGAAAAAAAGTCTTTGTAGATGTTATTAAGTTAAGTATCTTGAGATGAGATCATCCTGATTACTTGGGTGGGCCTTAAATCCAATGACAAGTGCCCTTTAAGAGCAGAAGAGAAGACATAGGGAGACAGAGGGAAAGGCCATGTGAAGATGGAGGCCGAGATTGGAGTTAACACAGCCATAAGCCAATAAACACCTAGAGCCACTGGAAATTGAAAGGTCTCCCCAAGTACTTTGGAGGGAGTGCAGCCCTTGTGGCCCCTTAATTTTGGACTCTGGCCTCCAGAACTGTGAAAGAATAAATTTCTGTTTTTTCTTTCTTCCTTTTTTTTTTGTTTGCTTGTTTTATGTTTTAGATTTTTGCCATAGGGTGGGTGTCTGTGCTTGCCAGAGAGAGGTTGAGAGAAAGCGAGGGAAAGTGAAAAATCACCTCCCAGCAGCAATGGCAATCGCAATCTCTTCTCCTCCATTTTCCTCTTAAGATTTTGGGCACAGATACACATGCACCTGGAGTGAATTTTAAGCTACCGGGACTGGGACTCAAACCACAGCATCACCAGGTGGGATCCAGCACTGTAACACCACACTACCTGTTGACCTAGCTTTTATAGTACCCTGAATCTATAGTGATTTGTTATGGCAGCCAAAGAAAATTAATACAACCTAACCATTCCACTCCTAGGTGTATATTCAAGAGAACTGAAAATATATCCACAAAAGCATATCTGTTCATGTTTATTGCAGCTCCATAACAGCTCCAACATGGGACAATCCAAGTATCCATCAAATGATGACTAGATAAACACAATGTGATATATCCATACAATGGAATATTATTCAGTCCTAAAAATAGATGAAGGGGTCAGCTCTGTAGCCTTGTGGTTGAGGCAGCTGGATTCCACATGGCTGACTATGCAGTTTGAGTCTGAGATCCAGCAGCTCAGGGAACATGCTGGGTGCATGTGATAAGTGCCCAAAATTCCAACAGGAGGGGGAGATAGAAGAGAAAGGATTGTAGTGTGATTGTGCCCTATGGAGAGTGCTTTCTCACTTTCTCCCTCTCTGGCAAAAAATAAATAAAAATTAATTAATTAATTAAAGTTAAAGTGAATGAAGTGCTGATACATGCTACAAGTTGGATGAGCCTATTAAACATTATGGCAAGTGAAAAGAAGTCATCACCGAAGACTACATGCTGTATGATTTCATTATGTGAGATGCCCAGAGTAGTCAAATCCATAGAGACAGAAAATATATGAATACTTGCCTAGGGTAAAAATGGTGTGAGTGTGAGAATGGGGGAGTGAGGAAGCAGGGATAAGGAGTGACTGATAATGGTTTCTTTTAGGGTGATAAAAATGACTAGATGTACATTATGTTAACGACCACACAACAATATGAGTATACTAAAAACCACTGGATTGTATGTGCACTGCAAATCGGTAAATTTATGGCATGTGAATTACATTTCAATTAAGCAATAAAAAGAAGAGAATCATAAGGAGCAAGTAATAAAATTCTATTTTAGCTTTGAGTATGTATTTAGTTTATAAACAATGAGTCCTTATGAATGATAATTATTTTAGATCTATCCAACCATAACCTAAACAGCAAACCTCATAACCAGAAAAAGTAGGCTCCAGAATGAATCATTAACTTTGGTTTTTGAGGCTGTGTTCTAAGAAATGTATCCTTGGGGGCTGATGGGTAAATTTCCCAATCACAATCTTAAATCCTCGCCCTTTTCCTAAGAGGGAATTATTGCCACCTAACAGGTTTCTCTCTTAATTTATTCTCTTTCAACCCACTTCGGTGTATAAGGACTCATGGAAACTGTTCTCTGTTCAGGACTGCAGGACAGAAACCTAAAGCACTTCCTGAGAGCTTTTCCATTGGTCAGTTTCCTCTAGGGATTGTGCTCACTCTGAATAGTCTATTATAAGAGGAACTTTTTCTTTAAATGGTCCATTTTAACCCATGGCTTCTAAGAAAGCATTACAATTGTAGTAGAGATGTAACGTGATGGGAAATGTAAGTAGAGATTCTTGTGCAGCTAGGGACAGGGGCCAGAAGGGGTACAGCACATACAGAGGCAGAGTCTCAGAGGGTCCACATGAAGAGAGCCCACTGTGGCCCCAGTCCGTCATTTCCTCAGAGACCAGTTTGGTTCAGATTTAGGGCGCAGTATGGAGTAGTTCTAAGGCCTCATGCCTGGTGTCACTTTAAGAGTTTGTGGTGCGATCACTGAGGTTGGAAAACAGATACAAATGTTTAGGGCCATTTTCATGTAGGTTAATACAGTTGGGACTTTGCAGGCACACAGAGCCCATCCCAGTCAACATCCAGGTCAATGAGAAACCCAGGAAAAATTGGCCCTCGGTGTTAACCTGCAGTTGCTCTGGGATTTTCTGGGATTGGGTTACTTTGCAATCCAGCAGATGACTATCTGTCTCTTCGGAGTCCATTCAGTGAAGCTTACCCCTACCTCCCCAGATCTTTCCCTCTGGCTAGAATGACTGAGTCAGGCATGAGTATCTAACCTAAGCAAGTTAAACAGATCACATTAGAACCTCCTCGGAAGGGGACACTCCCTTCTGTGGTGTTGTAAGCCTGGATCAAGAGTGGTTTGAGGAAGGTTACCTAAGAACCACATCTGGGAGGGACCAGCAGTTAGCGTAATGGCTATGTCGCTGGACTCCCACGTAGTCAACTGCGGTTGGCGTCCCAGACCCAGTGGCTTAAAACTCACGCTGGGCGCATGTGCGTGCGTGCCCAAGATCCCGAGAGGAGAATGGAGAAGGGATTGTGGCATGGCCATCCCCCCTGGGAGGTGATTTCTCGCTTTCTGTCTCTCTGTCTCTCTTTGTCTGTCTGGCAAGCACAGGGGCCCTATAGCAAAAACCTCTCAAAAAAAAAAAAAAAAAAAAAGGCCCACATCTGGGACCAGCAGTTGGCATAATGGCTATGTCGCTGGATTCCCAAAAGGAGAGGGAGATGGAAGAGAAAGGATTGTAGTGTGACCACGCCCTATGGAGAGTGTAGTTGAACGCAGTTCGAGTCCCAGACCTGGTGACTTAAATTCATGCCGGGTGCATGTGTGTGCATGCCCAGGATCCTGAGAGGAGAATGGAGGAGAAAGGATTGCAGTGTGACCATCCCCCCTGGGGGTGATTTCTCACTTTCTGTCTCTCTGTCTCTCTCTGTGTTTCTGGTGAGCGCACGTGCCCTATAGCAAAAACCTCTCCAAAAAAAAAAGAAAAAAGAACCATATTCTGCCTCTGTCCGTTAGTAGCTCTGTGTCCATGAAAAATGACTTAACCCTGTGGAATCTCGGTTTCCTTATCTATATAATGAGAGTAACAAAGTGATCACAGAGCTAGCATAGGACTCAATTAAATCATGTAGAACAGAACGCACGGAATCTTGCCCCTAGTAATCGCCTAGCAATGACATCTATTTGGAAAGAGTTGGGGGGGGGGCAGTAGTTTTTGGCAGGAAGGAAGTAACTTCAACAAGGACATCAATGAAACTTTAAAATTTCTCACCGCAGAATTCTCTTTCTGCCCCAATTTATACCTGTACTTTGGCTGATTATGCTGCTTTTTAGATGAATGAGTGATAAAAACGCCCAACATTCCCATCATTTCATTGTGATGATTAATTATCCCACTTCAGAAGTACCTACCAGAATCTGTTGGTGCTGTTTTTCAACTTGATAGCCTCCAAAGTGTAATATTCCAGGTCTTGCCTGTATGACTTTATTATTCAGAAGTTTTGCATAAACCTCTGTAAAAACAATGTAGATCAGTATCTCCTGAGATAGTAGAGAAAATATTAAATTAAAGAAGCATGATCAACATAGGCTTCTCTTCAATTTACAATGGTCTAGGCATATGCAAGTTTCAGAAATGGGAAACAGCTGTCGGTGAGATTGATTTTCTGTTCCAAATAAACTGAACAGTGCTTCTTCTCAATTTTTAAACATCACTTAGGCAATATCATCACATACAAATGTATATATACCACTTAAGATCTGTTCAAAGAATTTGCCATTTCCACATTTTCTACAAGTCTTTGGAATAAAACACCAGCTCATAAAGAGCACACACCACGTCTTTGATCTGTACATAGAGTTTACTTATTATGTAATGAATACCCAATGTAATTATCCAGACACCAAGTGTTTGATTTTATTACTGTGTATTTAACTTTTATTATTTTATTTTGTCTGAATAGCTGAATAGAAATTACATGTGATATAGTGTAATCTTAAAGCTCTAAATAATTATCACTCTGGACAGCAAAGTCTCAAACTGCTTTTGTTGCCATGTGAATATCTTTGTCCTCTTTAAGTATTGAACAAGATAAAAACAGCTACGCTCACAAAAGTGTCCAGGTCTATAAAACTTATCCCAGTTCTTTACGTAGGCTGAAGCAGAGATGTGCAGAGAAGGCACTTAAAACCCACTATGGTAATTTGGGTGCCTTAAGTACTTTGTGCCAGGCAGTGCTGTGCATGCATTTGTTTATAATTCTTAGTTCAACCCTACCAGGAATTATTTCTACTTTGCAGATGAAAGAACTGAAACTCAGCAAGGTTAAGCAACTTACCCATAGTCGGTCATCAACAATCAAGCCCAGGTCTGTCTGATGCCAGCCACTAAACTGCTTTCCTCAAAGTCAAAAGTTATAATGTGGAAGAAACTGGGGGCTAAATGATGGCACTGAAGTAATGCAACACTCTGGGAGGATGACCCACGTGGGAAGGTTCTGGGTTCGTGTCCAAAGATTTCCCTGCACATGTCGGGTACACACATGCTCGTGATCCAGGGCTAAGTGGGGGATTGTGGCGTGAAGATCCTGTTAGGGGTCCTGTCTCTGTCTTTCTCTCAGAAGAAATAAATGAACTTTTATACACACATATAGGGTGGAGAAAAGGAGGAAAGATGACAAAAGGCAGGAGGAAATTTTGTAAAAAAAATTGTTCAATTTCTTACAAATGCTAACCTTCTGACTCTGGCTACATCTAAATCCTGAAAGCCATGGACACCCTCACCCCGCATGAAGTCGGTGTGAACATTTGATGTTTATCTTCCTCACTGGGGGAATTGTCACTGTTAACAGCTTTGGACCAAAGTGAAGGGCTGGGACAGGGAAGAATGTCAGGGAGACTGGCAACCTCGAAAGGTTATTATTTGGTCATTTTGTAAGTGCAGAAATTACCATGATTCCGTCATTTCTTTTTAATGCCAAAAGATTTTTATTTTTCTGAAGGGCCAGCCACACAGTAGATGTAAAACTGGCATTTTTCTGCTAATGCCCATAAAGTGGTCAAGTGTACTAATTTGTATTTGGTAAGTTCTATAGCAATAAAAGAGCCAAACCAAAATATTCCGTTTCTAACATTGAGATAGACTTTGAAGGACGAGTAGGGTGCACCAGGCATGATGGTGGAGAGCTGGTTTCACCAGTTGAACACCAGCTTCCCACCAACTGGGATCAATCATGTAGCCTCTGAGCCTCAGCTGCTCCAACAGTAAAGTGAAAATAAAACATATCTCATGACGTAGTTGTGTGGGGTTAAATGTGAATAACAGGCAAAATGATGAGTCTTTTCCTTAATAGCTAAGGGATATGAGTGGACCAGGCAAGGAGATATAGAATGCTCAAGGTCTGACAGAATGGGATGACTTGGGGGGCTGGAACTGGGGGTGAGCAGGGTGCAGCGTGGGGCTGGAGCTAGGAGGCAGGCTCAGATCAGATAGCAAGGGGCCAAGTAAAAGGTGGTTATTCTGTACACAAGGGGAACCGTAGAGAGCGTCTGTGTGGACCAATGACAAGAGCCAGCCAGGATGATTCCGGAAAGGAAACTGACGGGGGACACTATGACCTGGGAGGACAGCACTGCAACAGCCCCAGTGACCTGCAAAGGATGAGAAAGGAGGAAGCAAGGACAGATGGAAAGGCATTTGAGGAAGTGGAACAGAATGTAGTAACTGATGAGCACCACAGAAACGTTATCAGCTAAGTGGGTGCATCTATAGAACTATTGCTCTTAACAAGAACTGCTATATGCCTATAAAACAATACAGATAAATCAGCACCAAAATTCTGTTCTGCTTTCTGGACTTTGGATCCCCTGGGAAGATGTGTTAATAAACAAATCTGCTTTCTAACCACCTACTTGATTCTAGGAGGTGATTAGGTACTTCTGTTCTTTTCTTGGGCTCCTCCACTAAGCTCCTCAAAAGGTAGGGTGACAGATTATTAAAGGGTTCTTCAGCATTCTTTAGTTCTCTGCTGGGGGTTTTTGCCACTGCCATTTTATCATGAAAAATGGAGTCTTCTTTTTAGAGCCAAAGGTCATTTCCTGGGGAGAAAACAGTAGCAGTATAATCACCCCTGAGAAACTACACAAACATTTTTTCTCAAGTCTTGACAAATGTACCTCTTGTCACGTGTGCTTTACTGTAGCTCAGACCCTGTCTGGCCCTCGACTCAGCTGGCTACTCCATTCCCACACACGGCTGTCAGATTAATCTTCTTACATCACATTCCAACCCAATGTCGTGCTTTTTTTTTTTCTGAACCCTTCTGTGGACCTTCATTCTCAAGAGTTTTTCTCAAAATGTACTCCTAGGATGCTTCTAAAGTCAGTGGTAGGAGCACATAAGGGAAAAGCAAAGGCTTCCACAGTCAAGTAAGTTTGAAAAATGTTGGTATCAATAGTTAAACAGAGGGCCAACAGGTGGTGTGGTGGTTAGGGTGCTGACTCCCACATGGCTCATAGCATGGTTCAAGTCCCGGACTCAGCAGATTGAAAAACACACAGGGCGCATGTGTGTACATGCCCAAAAATCCCCAAAAGAATGGAGAAGAAGGGATTGTAGTGTAGCCATCCCTCACTGGGGGGTGATTTCTTACTTTCTGTCTCTCTCTACCTAGTACACATGCCCAACAGCAAAACTAAAACAAAACGAAACAGTTAAATAGGACTCTCCTTTCTGAGATTTCCCACATCAGTTTCTTAGAGGTGTGTGACCATGGCACCCTTTAACACTTGGACACACAGATTACAGGACACTGGCTGTTATGTCACCTTCCTGGGCTCCTGTTAACTGGGGTGAGGAGGAGGTGGTGAAGCCTACAGCCCAGGAAGGTGACAATGGCCAGTGTGCAGACCTGGTGCATGCCTAGGAGCTCTGTGAGCCTCAGCTCCTGCTGA